AGTGCCTGACGACCTTATCTGTCTCCTGAGAAACCTATACGTGGGACAGGAAGCAATAGTTAGAACTCGATATGGAACAACAGATTGGTTCAAAATTGGGAAAGGCGTACAACAAGGCTGTATATTGTCCCCCGGCTGTTTTAACTTATATGCAGAATACGTCATACGAAAGGCTGGACTGGATGAATCCTAAAATGGAATTAAGATTGCTGGAAGAAGTACCAACAACCTCAGATATGCAGATGATACCACTCCGATGGCAGAAAGTGAGGAGGAATTAAAGACTCTCCTAATGAGGGTGAGAGCGCAAAAATGGTCTGAAGCGCAACATCAGAAAAACTAAGATCATGGCCACTGGTCCCATCACCTCCTGGGAAATAGAAGGGGAAGATATGGAGGCAGTGACAGATTTTACTTTCTTGGGCTCCATGATCACTGCAGATGGAGACAGCAGCCGTGAAATTAAAAGATGCCTGCATCTTGGGAGGAAAGCGATGACAAACCTAGACAGCATCTTAAACAGCAGAGACATCACCTTGCCAACAAAAGTCCGAATAGTCAAAGCTATGGTTTTTCCTGTCGTGATGTATGGAAGTGAGAGCTGGAACATAAAGAAAGCTGACCGCCAAAGAATTGATGCCTTTGAATTGTGGTGCTGGAGGAGGCTCTCGAGAGTCCGCTGGACTGCAAGGAGAACAAACCTATCAATTCTTAAGGAACTCAACCCTGAGTGCTCACTGGAAGGATAGATCCTGAAGCTGAGGTTCCAATACTTTGGTCTTCTCATGAGAAGAGAAGACTCCTTGGAAAAGACCTTGATGTTGGGACAATGTGAAGGCAAGAGAAGGGGATGACAGAAGATGAGATGATTGGACAGTGTCATTGAAGCTACCAACGTGAATTTGACACAACTCTGGGAGGCAGTGGAAGATAAGAGGGCCTGGCGTGCTCTGTTCCATGGGGTCATGAAGAGTCGGACATGACTAAACAACTAAACAACGACGAAACATGGGAAAACTAGAAAGGCTCATCTCTACACACCTGGAGCTTTGAGTGCTTGACTGTTAGAGTTAAGGAATAGAAATAATGCTTCTACTTCAGGGATGAAGTTAATTTGGATCTACTGTGTATTCATTCCCACTAGTGATAAACTAGGGTTTTTGAGAGAGCCTTCTCATCTTAAACAGCTGTAGGAAAAGTATGACCCTCTTTTGAATATACCTTCAATAACAGTTATTTATTTAAATCTCTTGGAACACAGAGCAATATCTAATATTAGGAAATATGAAACTTAACTGAATAGAGTGAGGGTTTTCCCCACCCTTGCAATGGTGATGCAGATTTGAACTAACTTTTGTCCTAAAGTGGAACCATTGTTTCTCTTCCTCATGGAAAATCTACTAGCACCGAGTCCTCTGGGCTTCCTTCTTCTGGGCAACAGTTGTGCTACTGAATGTGACCTGTGCAAATGGAGCAGAATTTCATATCAGTTCGGTTTTAAATAATGTAGCCAAATTTGCATGTGAGAAATTTGCACGTCTTTACACATGAGATGGGGAGAATCTTTGGATGTGGAAGAAAACAAATGTAAAACACCTCGTCCTAATGGTGATCTTTATTGCTTTACTTCCTCAGGCCTTTGCAAAATGTTCACCTTGCCCAATATGATTAAAAATCTTCTGTTCATCTTTTGACTGCTCCATGATTGTCCTATAGTACTTAGGACAGCAACTTTTCCTCTACCTTTAACAGATTTTTTAACTGCAGCCGAAAAGAAAGGCATTGAATAAGCACAGTGTTTCTAGTTGTTTTCCTGTAGTAATTAACAGTAGCTCCATTTCCCCCAAAGTAATTAACATTAGTACTGACACATTATGAATTGTGCTTATTCATTCATTCGAAAAATTGAAGGGTGATTTTTAAGGCTAAAAATGCATTAGAAACATATTAATAATGCATTACTCTCCTTAAATGACTAGTGCCAGTATGTTGAAGTAACTACTAGCTCTAATATATTAACTGTTAATCAGATGCTACTTCACTGACTTTTCCAAGCTCTGCTTTACTTCTGCCATGAAACAAATAACAGATTACTCTCTAACAAAATGCCAATCTTAATAATTATCATGTGATGATTCTGACTTACGCCAACTCTTTTCAGGGTTTTCCATGTAGAGACTACTCAGAAGTGCACTACCATTCCCTTTATCGGGGGCACCCTTGGACCGTGCAGCCTGCCCAAGGCCACACAGGCTGGCTGTACTTGTAGGAGGTACAGTGGGAAATCAATCTCTCAACCTCTAGCTATGCAGCCAGATACCTAAACCACAAAGCCAGCGATGCCAATCTTACATACAGGCATTTATTGGAGAGAAAAAACTGCAGCCAGATACCTAAACCACAGAGCCAGCGATGCCAATCTTACATATAGGCATTTATTGGGGAAAAAAGGTAGCTAAGGAGCATAAACATTTTTATCCATAAAATGCTGGGGAAAGTATTCAAATTAACTCTGTGTGTGTGTTCTTAGAACAATGTCTTTCAGGAGCAGGCAAAGCTACTGGAGTTGAATTTGTAACTTTCTTTTCAGAGTTGCAATACTTATAGCCCTCATGTAATCTCTGGTTTCAGTTTTCAAGTTCAAGTTACTCGTATATTCCTGTAAATCATAGGTTCCCAAACTTTTTTGCCCCGTAGACCACTTGCCGACTTATTTGTTTTCCCTGCCTACCTAATATTGCATTTTCCTAAACCTATTACCTTCAAACATGTTGTGAGGTTTTGGTTTTTTTGAAAGAGTGTACAAGTGTAGAAAAAAAAACTGTACAATTTTTATTCATACCTTTATTGAAAAAACACAAAATGCAACTAAATAATCTCACCATATGGAATGATAATCCACTGTGGTATTTCCATAGTCAACACATCATCAAATCTGGTTTTAAAGTCCATGTGAAGGACCTGTAAATGTTGAACATAGACCAAAACATCATCACCGTGGACATTTGTCAACGACAAGTTGGGGAACTGGGAAAATTCATGTCATCCAATATTTTGCTTCATCAGATTCATTCTGGCAAGAAAAGATGCAATGATAGACTTTGTTTTTATTAAATTTAGATCGTCACCTTGCAAAATTTACTAAATTTACTAAACAAATCTGTTAAGTAAGCAATGCCTGGTTTCCATTTGATTAAATTTTCTTTCAAAACAGGATCTTTAGCATCCAAAAACTCTAAAATACAGTAGTCTCAAAAAGTGAAAAAAAGTCTTGTCAAACATAAGCCTTTCGACAGCCAGCATACTTTACTGTGAAGGAGTAATTGATGAAAGCTTGTCTTTTTCATCACACAATTGAGCAAATAATCTAGAATTCAACGTGTTGCCGTGAATCTTGTTTACTGTGTTTCTGACGAATTGAAGAGATTGATACAATTTACCACTCAGATTTTTAGCTACTAAATGTGGTCGGTGAATAATGCAGTGAATTGTAAACGACCCTGGTACATATTGTTTTAAATGGCTCATAAAACCTCGATAGTGCCCAAACATAGCTGGTGCTCTGTCTGCTGCTGGCGAAATTATAATTGATAAAGGGATTGCTTTTTCCATAAATATTCTTTCAAAACTTTGAATATTGATTTGCCTTTAGTATCGGTTGTCAAAATTCTTGTGAATAGCACAATCTTTGTGGATTTCTTGGCTCATAACAAAACAAACATATGCCAATAATAGTGCTTCATTCCCAGGTAATGTCGACTCATCAATTTGAATAGAAAAATGGATCGTTTGCAGATAATTACTTAAGAAGCTTTCAACATCATGGCTCATTTCATCAATGCATCTTTGAACTGTATTGTTGCTCAAGGGAATTATTATGAGTATATCATATGCAGGCTTGTGTAGAGCAGTTTTTAACACCTCTTCAATAGCTGGCAGAATCAGCTGTTCCCTGATAGTATGAGACTTTCCAGATTTTACTATGAGTAATGAGATATTGTAAGCTCACAATCCATCTTTGTTTCTTTTTGACATTGAAGCGAACATATTGTTCACCGTGGTTCTTTTCTGAAGTTTTTCTTTCAGTGTTTTAAGCAGTGGTTTGTAACCTTGGGTTACTCAAGTGTTTTTGGACTGCAACTCCCAGAAGCCTTCACCGCCAGCTGTGCTGGCTGGGGTTTCTGGGAGTTGCAGTTCAAAAACATCTGAGTAACCCAAGGTTAAGAACCACTGTTTTAAAATATGTTAAATCTTTCAGTCTCTCATCAGGGTGACACATTCTCAAACGATCCTCTAGCTTGAATGGCTTCCTAGCATCATTACTTAAAACTGTTGCACAAAAGGCACATGGGCAGATGTTTGTCCGACAGCAATGCGATGAAGCTGAACTTCAAATAATCAACACTATACTGCCTATATTTCTTTTTAGCTTCAGCCATATTGGGTAGAGGTTAACTGTGAACAAACCAAAGTTATTAAAATATGCTAAAACAGAGCAATTCAAATTTGATTTGTGTCCAGAATTTTGCACATAAAGACCAGATTCTTCTTGGTTAGTTGCTACAGCAGGGGTGTTAACTGGAACTGCAAATTATTACTAGTGAAAAAGTCACTGCACTACATGCAGGGCGTATGGGTTAGTGTTCAATGAAGGTTACATGCAACAACTTATTAAGTGATGGTAATTTCCTGCTGCAGTTTATGGCACTCCATTTACCCCAGCATAACTAACCAACAATAGTTTGCCAAACATGCACAAACATGAGGGAAGGGACAGAGAAAAAATACAATATAGCAACTCTACTTTCAGAAAACCTCCTCTACCTTTGGAAACCAAAAAGCAAATTTCGATCATAGGTTTTAGTGGAACTTTGCAACAACATGATGTAATAAGCTAATTATGTACACTAAAGTATCTATGAGGTGAAGAACTGTTGTGATATATGCACTGAATCCCAGAATAAAATGCTTTGGAAAGAACCAGTGTTAAGAGACATAAATTAAGAAAATGCAGTTTATTTGTTATTTTTCAAAATTACAAAAAAAAGCAAACGTTATCAGTTATTTAAATTATCCAGTGCAAAATAGAAGCACCCACTAGCTTTCCACCTACATTTTCTAGATCTGAAGTGAACAGCTGCAACTGCTTGGGCCGAAGAAGTCATACCAACTTATACCAAGTTTTAATGCAGACAGTAGAGGGATGGACTGCAAACTTCAAAGGAACAGAAATATGCCCTCCATACTACAAGGTGCAAAACCAGGATGAGACACAAAAACTTATAAAAAAATCAAGAAGTATTTACATTAAATAGAGTCTATATTAATTGTAAAAGGAAAGGAATGCCTGATTTTCCAAATTATGTCTCATTTTACAAGTCATAAATATGAATTGAAACGAAGTATGATTGTCTCATTTTGACATCTCAGCTATGTTTTCTGTTCTTTGCCTTTTGGAGAAAACACCACATTATAAGGCTGCCTTCTTTTAGGACGTGGGCATGGACTGAGGTCTTCTTTTATATAACCTTTAAGAAACAGAAATGAATTTTAGTGACACTGTTTTGGTAACAGAAAGCATGATTACACAGTACAGTCGTGCCCTACTTAACGATTGTCTCGCTTAACGAGGAAATCGCTTTACGACGAGGTTTTTGCGATCGCAAAACGATGGTCTAAATGGGGGAATTTCGCTTAGCAATGCTTGGTTCCCTCCTTCAGGAACCGATTTTTGCTTTACTACGATCAAAAACAGCTGATTGTCGGGTTTCAAAATGGACGCCGGCTGAAGAAAATGCCCCCCCGCTGTGCTTAGGGACGGATTCCTCACTGCACAGGCATGGAAAATGGATCTTCGCTGGACGGTGAGTTTTCAGCCCATTGGAACGCATTAACCGGGTTTTAATGCCTTTCAGTGGGCTTTTTTTATTTCGTTTGATGATGTTTTCGCTCTACAGCAATTTCGCTGGAACGAATTATCATCATCAAGTGAGGCACCACTATACTGAGAGGAACCCTTGCCTACTTCAAAATAGTTTATTTTATTTTCATGTTTTAAGAAAATTCCTTCATAACGTCACCAATTGTTGCATCAACTGCTACATTTTATAATTATATATTTTGGCAAAGTCAATTTGTTTTTTGAAAAGGAATTGAAAGTGGCCCAAGCTTCCCCTTTCAAGATCCATATGCATTTAACACTGAAAAAAAGAATCTGTATGTTGTCTATGGTAAGTTTATAAAAGGATCTGCAACTTGAATACTTCTCTCTGGATATAAATTAAATACATTTCCAGTATGCCAAAACCAGAAATATATTTTTGAATTTCAGCCAGAATCAATTATGGAGTATGTACCCTTGGAACTACTGAAAGCATACAGTCTTGAGAAGGAAGCTATATCGTTTCCCAGTTTAAACTATTTCAAAGATATTGTGGGGCAGGTTTTATTTTTAGCCATCTTTTTGTTAAAGAAACATAACTTTATTCGAGCAAACATAAAACATTTTGAAGCTACATTTTCCCTAGACTTTCTGAGAAGCGTAGAGAAATTTACCAGTGTAAAACAGGGAATGAACAAAGCACCTCAGCCATGGACTGACTGGATGAATTTAGATATATTGTTATTCTCCAAGGCTGTGACTACACTACCATTAACTCTTGACAAGTAACATGGGAAATGCTCTGGGATTGGGATGGTCAGATTTGTATTATTTTCCACTGACTACATGATGTGCAAATCAGCCCAGAGTCTACCACCCATCCATACTTTTTTCCTCCACTGCTGGGACTTCTTTTGAGAATTGAATGTATATACACCAGTTCTTATGGTGTAATTACTTGAGCCAATGCAACTTCATGTCTGAATGGATGACCATCCATTCAGCTTCATGGCTGAATGGATGACCAGAGGGTGTCAGGTCCCCTAAACAAAAACAAACAAACAAAGAGTGAGGAGGACATTGATAGAGAGGAGGAAACTGGCAGTCAGCCCTTGTTTGCAAATTGTTAAGCTAATTGTATTGTAGCTGTGGCTCTTGCAGCTCTAGACAGCTACAGCAGAGTTGCCTTAACAAGGTGCTAATGAGTGCTGCTTGATAATTTTCTCCTCTCTCTGCTAACGCCTGTGTGATCAGCTCAAATGAATTTATCCAAGGAAACCTAACCTCCCAGCTGCAATTCCACAGTGGATTAATTCACATTTTTTCAGCTGAGCAGTTGTGCCCTGACTCAGCTCTGCATTTGTAATTGGCAGATAATAGTATTGGTCTGCCAAAGTGGGAAGTCTAAGGATTACAGAGAGAACATTTGTCAGGGACCTGGAATGTACTATGAATTGCTGTTACCAACTGTCTTTGTAATAATTATTTAACATTTATTTACTGTTTTTGTTTATTAAAGTACTTCTAGTTTATGCTATGACAATATATTTCTGGGAGGGTAACAACCAACAGAATTCTTTTAAAGGAGCTGAAAACAAGACAAATGCTTTAAAAAATAACATTTTAAAAACAACCTGAAAAGGTTTAACTCTTCAACAAAACAAAACAAAGGGCCAAGATAGTCTCCAAATACTTGGGTAAGCAGCTAGATTTTAGCTTGATGACAAAATAAAGAGGGCACCAATCAGGCCTCCAAGGAGACAGCATTCCATAACCAGGATATGTTAGCCTGTTAGTGCTATTATTTTATTTTATTATTATTAATATTGGAGAGGGAACGTGGTTACTACATTGAAGACATGGATCTACTCTTCTGATGGATGAGTATTTTATAAACTTACCTCTTTCAATACACATCTGGGTGGAGGGAAACCCAACTTCCCAGAAATGTTCTGGTGTGGCAGGAGGAACATAGCGTGATCGATGCCTTGAACAGGTAGCTACCTTCTTTTCTCTCTCTGCTTCTGGAAAATCTGCATAATACTAAGAGATAATGCAGAATCTTGGTTAAGAGAAACAGCATCTGAAGCAGAGCACATGCTGGGGATCCTAAGCAGGAAGGTGCTACTGTGCTGAGGCCTACATTCTCATGGCACTTGGGTGCCCACTCCAGGACAAGAATGCTAGTGCTTGGTTTGATTCAGTTAAGCTCATTTTGTGTTTTACCTGAAACTGTACTTATCTACATATCTAATCATGTTAAAACTGTACTTAGCTACATACCTAAACGCCACTCCACCCTCCCAATGCCTGTGCTGGCCTTGCCATACTAATATATGAAGTGCCCCTTAGAATGGATACCTGTTGCCCTATTTTTATTATTATTCACGTAGTATTTATTTAGCACTTCTAAATGTACTGAAGTGTTTTCCCATCTTCTCCTTAAAACATTTAAGTACAAAGTCTGCTGCTTCAAGGCATGGGGTCTAGAAAACTGTTAAGTCAGTTTCTTTGCGACTTAGCAGTTCTAAGCTGCTGAAAATAAAATTCAGTTGTCTCTTCATTAATCTCAGAAACAGCTAAAAGCCCATAAGCACACAAACAAAGGTTCACTATAGAGGCTCTAGAGTACATTAAGCTAAGAAAACTTTTTATTCTGCTAGGATTAAACACAAGGATAATGTTCTGTACTTCAAGCCAAAGTCCCTGTCAGAACTGTGTAATAAAGACAATACACAATTCCACAATTTCTTTTCTCAAGAGGAAATTCACATTCCAGTTTAACTAGAAATCTGACAGCAGTGCATGTTCCAAACTCCAATGCATCATTAAAAGGACAAAGAGATCACATTTTCAAATTTCCATGATCAAGAAAGGATGGGAATTCTTTTTGTTCTGGTATAGGAGGGAAAAATCAGTATAGAACAAACAGGGATAGTTAACGTGTCAATTCTTGAAGGCTTGCTTACACATGCAAATATTTCACTTGATAAGAGCACTATCAAAAAAATGAACTGCCCAACTAAAACAAAACATGATACAACAGCATCTTTGGTCACCTCCACCCAGTGTTTTTCAATTGTCATTTCATGCATTTGTCTGCAAATCTTATTTTAAATATGAAGCTTTATTCTACGTTTGAGCGTTAAAGCCATTCCTCAACAACTCTTCCATTATATACTATTTCCAATCCCAATCTAGGGTAGAGGATAGCAGGAAGCTAGAACCTCCTGATCTAGAACAGCTGTTGTTGTTTAGTCGTTAAGTCATATCCGACTCTTCGTGACCCCCATGGACCAGAGCACGTCGGCCCTTCTGTCTTCCACTGCCTCCTGGAGTTGGGTCAAATTCATGTTGGTAGCTTCGATGACACTGTCCAACCAACTTGTCCTCTGTCGTCCCCTTCTTCTCTTGCCTCCACACATTCCCAACATCAGGGTCTTTTCTAGAACAGTAACCCTAAGTAAAGAAATGCAGGGCTATATGGAACTCTGCCAAGCCCTTGCTTTCAGCTGCAAACACAGAATCATTCAGCAGTTTGCTACTTATATACTAAATGGGACTAAGCCTTCTCCAGGAAGCACGAATTAACACCCAGCAATGCTGCTCAACAGTAGCACTGAGACCCTGTGCCATTTTGTTGCCATGAACTGAAAGCAAATTTCACTACGCTATAGGAAAAAGGGGTCGGGGAGGACAAGGCCTTTGTGTGATTTAACAGACAAAAGACTCAGGAAGGAAAGGGGTATCATCCAGTTTACTGTGCAAAACCTACAATGATACAGAAGATCTTCAGAGTTGGAATCAGCACTGACTCTGTATCACTGAAATCACTGCCTTGCCACTGCCCACACAACCAAGCTCCTCAGTTCCTCCCAAGTGTCCATGAGCACATCCTTCTGGATTCCATTTGCAAACTCTGTTTCGTATCCCATAAAAGGCAAAGACATGGATGCATATGCATGTTTGCATGTTAGGTACTTCGATACACATTTATTTATGATATTTTATTTCACCTCTAAGGAACTTAACACAGATTAATTCCTTTCCCCTCCTTCCAACACAATAATTTTGAGGTTAAGGAGTCTAAGCCCTGGTTAGCAGAAAATTCTGCTGGGTACAGTTATTTCTTGTTGATGCGGCTTAGAGAGAGGGAGAGAGATACTGAGCTTTAATGCTTTAATTATACTTATCGGTATCTTATTGTTAATTATCTTGCACACTATTTCTTTAGTGGAAAGTAGGACATAAATTGCATAAACACAACTAAAATCAATAAATACATAGCAAGCATAGATTTATGATGCTGAGTGTAGCAAAAATTGGCTCATAACTGTCACAAGAATAATTTTTTCCTTAGTTAGGCAATACAAAATGCCACCAGTGCATAAGCCTGAGAAGTGCATGTTTGCGATGCTATGCATGGTGCAGGAGGCAACGACCATTCTATCTCTGGTGAAATCAAAGACTAATCCTGTCTTCTATCCACACACAATTGCTTACATGGATGTAAAGATCAGCCTCACTCAGCATTTCTGGCGGGAAGGCTAATCATTTGTGAAACAGACCAAAAGCAACACCCTCTTCCCAAATGACCAGCTGCCCCATTTTAAGCAGCCACAAAATGGAACATAGAAAGAAGCACTGTTGTTGACACAGCTCTTTTTAATGAGTAACCCAGTGAATTCAACTGGCTGTAGCCTTCCTATACACACAACATGAATTTACTTCCATAGGAACTGATGTTGGCAGATATGCTATGACATTTTAAAAAGAGGATAGCTCTAGCTAAGATTGTTAAGTATTACAGCTAAGTAGAACAGAAACAGTTATACCTGAGAAACCTGTGTGGGAGGCAAAACAACCTTTGCATTTTGACTGTATACTTCCAGAGATAACTAGCTGGCTATGTTTTTGAAAAAAAAGTAAAAAGGATCTTATCCGAAACAGAAATTATATTTGTAATGATGCAGTATACTATCCATTTACTCCCAGGAGACATCCTTGTGTTGTTAAGACTCCATTCAAAATCCCAAGTGGTAATCAATGTACTACATTCAAACTTACAGTATACATTGATTTTTTTTTCCTTTTAGCCTTACCCTGATCTGGAGGTCTTCTGCCTCTAATCCCATCACTTGGGTGAAATGCCATTGCTGACATTCCACAATCGTTGGTGAAAACACTCCTCTCAGATTGTTTATACTAAATGCCCCCTTTCCAAAAATGCTTAAGAATTCTGCCCTTAGTCTTAGAAATTCTTTACCTGAGAAAAAAGGTCCACCACCCAAGTGTTTTTTAATCAACATAATTACTACTATGTGCAACTCACCAAAATGTAACAAGAATTAGGTCCATGGAGAGGAAAAGCACTGCACTGCGCAGAGACAGGAAATTAAAACTGTTCACGCACAAATCTTGGCATAAGACACAGTGCTGCTCTATGTCCTCCCCCAACTGGATCTCACATATGTTGGAAAGATAACTGAGCTTCACAGTGGGCTATAAATTAAATTATGTTATACCAAAAATTCTAGCAAAGCTTTTTAAAAAGCACCTTAGATTCCATTTCAGAAACCTATTGACATGTTCTTTTTAAATGGAAGAAGCTGAATTAGAAAAGCAGTAAAAAAGCAGGCAGGTTTCTCCTAGTGACTGGCTGCCTGAGATGGGTTTTTAATATGAATTGTTGGGCTCTGTTGCTTCTAAATGTGTTTTAGTACTGATTTTTTAAACCATTTTAATATAATACTTATTTAATTCCTTTTAATATTTGCATACTTACTTTTTAAAGATTTTAAATATTGTTTTTTTTTAATCATGTAAGCTTCCTTGAGTCCTTTTAAGGAGAAAATGTGGGGTAAAAGTATTTTAAATAAATAATTAAAAAATTAGAAAAAAAGAGAAAGTTAAAAAAATAATGTATTCTCAAAGGCTTTCATAGTCGGGATCCAATGGTTGTTATAGGTTTTTTGGGCTCTTTGGCTGTGTTCTGAAGGTTGTTGTTTCTAATGTTTTGCCAGTCTCTGTGGCCGGCATCTTCAGAGGACTGGAGTTGTCTGTGTTCTAACTCCTGTCCTCTGAAGATGCCGGCCACAGAGACTGATGAAACATTAGGAAGAAAAACCTCCAGAACACAGCCAAACAGCCCCAAAACCTAAAACAATAATCATTATTTTATCAGTCAGGGGTACTATAATAGAAAATGTACCTATGTACTCCAATAGATCACATAAAATATTATCAGATGAATTAGTTAGTTAATTATCTGCCGTTAAGTCAGAGCCAACTTATAGCGATCCTAAGAGGGCTTTGATGGTAAGTGAGATATTTAAAGAGTGATTTTACCAGTTCCACTCCCCTAGTCAGTTTTCATGGCTAAGCAGGGATTCAAATGTTGGTCTGCAGAGCCCTAGTCCATCACTCTATCCACTACACTACACTGGCTACAACAGATGCTCATAACAGCATAACTGGATACAATTAAGGTATTTGCTGCAATCCAGTAACTTCCAGTGGATTCAAAAATGCTTAAATTAGAAAAACCGGCAGATAAAATTATAAAGGTGCATTATTCTCCTAATGACAAAATACCATATAGGAAAAATGTTCAATCTAAATACAGTCAGAAAAATGCTGAGTGATCCCAAGAACCACACAGGCAACTTCTGAGGTTCCCTTCTTGCTACATCACTCATGCTATCTGTACAGGCACTACTGAAGTCAGAGAACTTCCAGAGCAGCAGTGTCTGAAACTGCAGATCAGAAATGGATGTTGTAGGAACTCCCTGTAAAAGTGCTTGGGAAAATACACTGGGGTCTCAATTAGAATTTGCATACTCTGTTTTCAAAACCCAGGGCTTTTATATAAAACAGTGGTCCCCAACCTTTTCTGATCCACGGACAGGTTGGGGTGGCAGGCCGTGTGTGCGGGTGGGATACATGGGGAGAGTGCATGCGTGCGGGGGGGGGAAGAGATCTGTCTCCACGGCCTGGTCCTGCCATGGCCATGGACCGGGGGTTGGGGACCTCTGATATAAAACAGTGTGGATCTGTATGGAAATCTCTGTAGACAACCCATGGGGTGGATTCAGATAACTAGGCCCCGTCAAACATTCATTCCCTCTATTTCCTTCCCCGGCACCCTTGTCTGCAAAGCTGCTCCAAAGGTCAAAGGAAACCGACATGGACTACAGCACAGGGAAAGAGTGTAGTACAGTGGTGCCCCACTTAACGATTACCCCGCTCCACGACAAAATCGCTTCATGACAATGTTTTTGCGATCGCAAAACAATGTTTAAATAGGAAAAAAAACACTTGATGATGATCGGTTCCCTGCTTCAGAAAACAGCTGATCGTTGGGTTTCAAAATGGCTCCCCGCTGTGTTAAGGACGGATTTCTCGCATTACAGGCACCAGAAAATGGCTGCCCTATGGAGGATCTTCATTGGACAGTGAGGTATTTCGCCCATTAGAACGCATTAACCGGTTTTAATGCATTCTAATGGATTTTTTACTTTCGCTTGACAATGTTTTCGTTGTACAGCAATTTTGCTGGAACGGATTATCTTCGTCAAGCGAGGCACCACTGTAATCCTGAAAACAAGGTTGGGGAGAAGGTCCACTTGTTGAAGTCACCTCCAGCCAATTTTTTGAGACTTTTCCCTTCCTCCTCAGTCATTTGTGGGACAGCTTATGTTATTCCAGAGGGCCCATGGGTGTTCAAAGTAGACTTTGGGCAGAGCTTCTGAGTAAAGATGAGGTGGGAAATTTAGCTTCCACTCATCTGGTAGCCATGTCTTGATCTGCATCAAACTCATAAAATTTTAGAGTTCAAAGTGGGTGTCTTCTAGCTAAACTATATCTCCCTCTAAATGGAGAATTTAAAATCCTGTGAGCTTACTGTCCAGCGTCTATGTAATATGCCTCCAGTGATATCAGCTCAATACATTGCAAGGCAGGCTGTTCCATGTCTTATTAGCTGCTATCTCAGATCACTTTTCCTAACAGTCAGCTAAAACCTGCTTCCTTGCCATTTTCACACCTTAATTCTAATCCTGCATGACAGCCCTTTGGACAGCTAAAGATCACTATCCTTTTTCCCTTTCATCTTCTCTTCTCCACATTGAACATAGCCAGCTCTTTCAACCAGTCTTTATAGGACTTTGTTTCCAGCCCCCTCACCATTCTGATACTCTATACATGTCACAATTATCTACATCCTTCTTAAAACATGGAACTCAATACAGATGTAGCATGACTATGCAATAGGCTTCAAAGATAAACAAGTAGACCAATATTCAAAAATATGGCACAGCATATGCTCTGCCCTTCTTCAGTTAATACTTCAGATATAATCATCTCATTTGAAATTTAAAGCATAGCTCATGCACTGTACCAAAAAAAAGCAGGAAGTTAAGAGACAAACAAATAAACAAACAAAAACAGAACAGACTATGAGGCTCACTGCATGGTAATTTACATACTTACTACTTCACATTCCTTACAGGTGTGGCCAGGTAATTTTCTTCTTTCTTCTTTTTTTCGTACAACCTCAATATGAGGAAAATCTAGTACAGCATTCCTTCTGGAAGAAAAATTGAGAAACTAAAGAAACTAAACTTGATGGCCCAAATAATACTTTTGCACAAGGAAGCTATGTGACTATAATGTTTCATCAAGTTACAAAATTGCTTTAGCAATTTGATTTTTCTACTGGTTTGTAGTTAGTTATGTATATACATTAAACAGGACCACATCATCACTGTGGCAGTAAATCTAACAAAGTGCTTCTAAATATTTCGCCACCTTGTGCTTACTGTTATTTACAGCACTAAAGAAAGAAAAGGAGGAGGAGGTGTGCTTAGCCTGAAAGCTTCCTATTTGTTTGATTTTTTAATGGTCCAGTAAAAGGTATCACACTCTCAATGTGTAAGGCAATTATCATGGAAATCCTTCTGACTTCAAAAGGACCTGACCATAGCAATTATTCAAGGGCATACTGGACAGAAGGATATTATTATGCAACCTATTTTTATACCTCTATTCATTCGAACAGACTGGAATGTACAGTTCTGGAACAAGAACTACTGAAAACAGGCTCAGAACCAACAATGTACAATAGTGTATCTTAACCTACTGTAGTGATAGATACATTCCATTGCCTTTCATCTTACTGCTTCCTTGTGAATTGGAAACAGTTATGGTACATATACTAGAAACTAGTAAAAGCAAGTGTAAAGGAATGTTATAGTGTAGCCCAACAATTTTTGCTGTGAAAAAAGGGAAGAAAACAGCAGATATTGATGTTTATATCTGTCTATTGAAAGGAAAAATATATGAAGGATACATTTACTTTTAATAGTATATTGGCATATGTCTCCTCTTGAACTTACTTGCATTTCAATGGAGAAAAGAGCTTCACTATGCATTTATAGAGCAAATAAGAGACAACTGTCATGTTTTATTAATGTAATATTAACAAATACTCCCATTTGATTTGTATTATGTAGGAATTTTCCTCCTCTAATTATCATCTACAGTAATTTGCAAATATTAGAGGATAATTTTTACAAATATGTTGCATTTACCTTTCATTACTTTTAAAATACGGTTCCACAAAAGCCTTCTGTTTTATTTTATCTTGTTTGTTTTCATACCCTGAAAAAAGTATATACAACATGATATAAATTTAAGTTTTGCTTAGAGAAAGCACAATACTGTCATAAATCTAACTGAAAAGGAAAAAAATATATCCTACACCATGGCTTTGTATAAATGTCTCAGTCCTTCAAAATGAGAAATAATGAAAATGTAAATGAGAAAAAAAATATGTTCCTTGAACCCAGATATAGAAACAGATAATCATACTTTCCTACATTCATTTATGTGCCCTGACTGAAAATCTAAAAAGCAAGTTAAGTACTCTGCAGGTTTTTCTTTACTGTTGATGTTTCTGTCTTTCGTTCTTCTTCTTCCTGAGAAGACTCAGGAAAATTTTCATCATCTAAATAGGATTCATATTCTTCACACGATGTCCGATCAAATATTTCTGCCAAGGTATCGTTTTCTCTCTTCTCCACACCTATGAACAAACATAAATAGCAGTGACGATTAACATTATTCTTAAAATTTGAGCTTATGAAACATGATGATTGTATCTTTAGAATAAAACAAAGGAAATCAAGTTTTCAACCTTTCCACTAGCATAAAAGCCTAAATCCAGTGTTAGTATTAACTAGAGCACTGGTTCTTAACCTTGGGTTACTCAGGAGTTTTGGACTGCAACTCCCAGAATCCTTCACCACCAGCTGTCCTGACTGGGGTTTCTGGGAGTTGCAGTTCAAAAGCATCCAAGTAACAAAGGTTAAGAACCACTGAACTAGAGCACAACCATTGACTGAATCAAGCTCTAAGATATTAAGTTCCCATTGATTCACTGGGCCATTTGAGTAAGGAGTGACAATTGAATTTAGTTCACATTGTTGCCTTAATTATCACTGTTAAAAAGATTGAGCAGGATTATTTCTTAGCTTTTCAGGAATTTTTGTCAGAAATAAATATACAGGTTAAAATTGCTACAAGGAAAAATTCACTTTCTAATGTTCCTTAAGGCAAGAGTGGGCAACTGGAGCAGTTCTGTAGCCCCAAGATCATCTCCCAACTCATCCCTATAAATAAAATAAACCTTACCAATTTTTCAGTTTCTTTAGATAGTATGCTGATGACACTAAACTCTCTCTCTCGCCTTTCAGTCTAATTCCAAAGAAGCTGTTTGGTTTTAAATTGGTGTCTGGTGTCAATAAGGGATGGGATGAGGGGAATAAGCGGCATCTTAATCCAGACAAGACAAAGGTGATCCTGGTCTGTTGAAAGGCAGATCAGGGAACAGGGATGGTGTTACATTCCCTTGAAAACACAGGTTCACAGCGAGAGTCTACTCCTGGATTAATCCCTGAGCCAGGACACCCAGGTCTTAACAGTGCCTAGGAGTTCATTTGCACAGTTAAAACTAGTGTGTCAATTCCACTCTTTCCTGGAGATGTCCGACCTGCCACAATGCCACATGTCTTAGTTGCATTCAATTTGTATTACTTCAACACGTTCTATGTGGACCTGCTTTTCCCAGACACATTTTCATGAGAGATTTTATAGAGGCCAGTGAGGGAGGAATAACTAACCCTAATTTACTACTCCTGGGAAATTAGCTATGTAGAAAGTCTCAGTTCTCAGAACAACATATGCAAGTAGTACAGATTCCCTTGGGTATTCCAGTTCAAGATTCCTACAAAGACTAGAAAATCGCAACAAACAAAGGTTATGTGTATCTGGTGATTAGCCTTCTAAAGAAGACAGGATACAGTACTTATAAATTGTCTTTTGCAATAGCCCTATATACAGCCCATTTGGTATATGCAATTTCTTTTTGGTTCAGTCCTAAAATTCTCCATTCTGGGAGTTTCATCCACTAGACCCATTGCTACAAACACCTAAATTGTGCTCACCTGGAGAAAGGCTAGGAAGGCTTTATCTCCTAGGACACTGGTTCTTAACCTTGGGTTACTCAGGTGTTTTTGGACTGCAACTCCCAGAAGCCTTCACCACCAGCTGTACTGGCTGGGGTTTCTGGGAGATGCAGTTCAAAAACCCCTGAGTAACAAAGGTTAAGAACCACTGTCCTAGGATAGACCAAGCTCCCAGCAAGTACGAGCGGCAGTTTACTTTTCTAACAGAAATCTAGAGCAGAGCTTGGCCTGTCTTAGGCGATGAAGTTTTCAACCCGTCCTCCTTCCAGGTGAGCACAATTTAGGTGTATTTATTTATTTCTTACTGACGCTTATACCCCACTCGACTTAGTGGGTCTGTCAGGTGGAACACCCAGAATGAAAGATTCTGATTCAGAGTAAAAAAAGAAAAAAGAGTGGCACATCCCTATAGCCTATTATAGTTAAGATAACACAACAGCATACGCTAGCAAAGTGATATGCTAGTATCATATTCTGTCATTTACTTTTACTATTCAAATTATATTTTAAAAACCTAACTTACTTGGACTGCTTGCTTTCTCCTGTTCTTGATTCTTCTTTCTTAACAATATACTATCACTGACATACGTGTAGTCCATATCCATGGTCTCTACTCCAGTTCTGGCTTGGGTGCCTTCCTTTTGTACAACATAGTTATAAAACTATTATAGTACCCAAACGTTTAAAAGATTGAAAACAACTATGTAATTTCTTTAGTTTAAATGTCATTAAAAAGAGGATTCCTAGCCATTTGTATTTAATTTCTTCATATGAAATAAAAGTGTCTTAAAGAAAAGACCCTGCAAATCTGCCATAGCTTTGTGGTTACATTTTTAATTCATATTTATAGAATATATTTCCAATTCAGAGACTACTATTGCCTACCTGAAGTCTATACAAAAGCTTTAAAGCATCCCCCCATGCAGTAGGCCTAACCGTACTTTTTTCAAGGGTACTATTTAGCAAGATAGATATGCTAAAATTTGCTGTTTGAGACCTGAAGTAAAACCTGTTTGGATTTTGTTTGAACAATATGAATACTACATTACTAGCAGCAGACTACCACAAGGAATATATTCTTCAAATATTTGTCCAAGTGAGGACTCTGTAAACTTCCACACAGTCAAAAATCTATCCCATAAATGTCATTAGCAGATGCATAAATTCAGGTGAATGTCAGCAAATAAACTGTTACATTTGAGGAAGGCAACCATTCCATAACTCAAGAAAAAACTTTTTAAAACCCAGCAAGCCCATTATGGTTCAATTAATTATAACACTCTTCGTAAGACTCCTACAGGGTAACTTTCCTGAATAAAAAACAAGATAGAGAAATTTTCCCTAACAGATTATTTTTCTATGGGCAAAGAAACACTCTCAAACAGACATCTCCCAGCTTACTATTAACAAAAACCAGAAACCAAATGCTTGAACTGGATCTAAATAATTGCACAATTAGCAATTACATTTTAATTTTAGTCATTCTTACCAAACTAAATTTTTAATTAAAGAAAGGCAACATTATTCTACTTTAAGCCAAGCTTCACAGAGCAAAAAGCCATAACACAACGCAGTTTGTTCTTTTAGTCCTCTCTTCAAGATTGCTTACTTTTGTGTCTATTAGGGTAACATCCATTTTGTATTGGGAAAGGTCAGCTCCCGGATCTATACTCCACTGCACGCTTTCCAAAGTTGTTTTATCTTCAAAAGAAGAGAAGGTGTAAAAGTAACAGATGTTCTAAAAATCACAATTATTTTTATCTCTATCCTCTTTGTCTGTCTTAGGACACACAGCTCCCAAGCTTGTTTCTGTGGTCCCCAGCCATCTCGAAAAGTGCTGCTAAATTTAGGATGAAAACTGGGCTCCTGAATTTTGATGGAAAACTGGGCATTCTTCTTTAAACAATGACATAGTGGTAGGGATGCAATGGGGTGGGATCTAGACTTGCTGAGGTTGTCTACTACTTATATAAGCAAACAGAAAGCAATACAAATGACAGCCACTACTGCACACATCATAAACATGGCAAAATGTAAAAGAGATTAAGAAAGAAGTAACTTACAAGTTTACCCCATGGTGCATGAAAAGGTAGCATAGTCTAACATTGACTCATATAATCGGGAGTATGTTTAGATAACAGTAACTCCACTGAATATCAGGAAATTTTCTTAACTGTTAGAGCAGTATGACAATGGAACCAATTACCTTGGGAGGCCGTAAACACTCCAATACTGGAAGCATTCAAGAGAAATGTGGACAACCATCTGTCTGATCTGCTTTGATTTAGATTCCTGCCTTGAGCAGGGGATTGGACTCAATGGCCTTGTAGGCCCCTTCCTACTCAAATATTCTATGATTCTATAATAAAATATTAAAATAGGAAACACTCTGACATTCTCCTCTTTCCATAACATAACAAGTCAAAATACCTTGCTTGTTGTGAAGTGTGTCTTTTTTCAATCGGCAAGGATTTGGCTGAAGTACAGATGCTGGCTCACCTACTCCAAGTCCTGGTCTCAGTCTCTTACTCTTTGGTTCATGGTCATCTGTGACCTATCAACACAATTAGGATTCAAACAAGCTCTATAGGAAGAAAAAACCTCCAGAACAACAGCTAGAAAAACCCACAACAACCATTAGTTCTTGGCTGTGAAAGCCTTCGAGAACACAATCTCTATACTAACTTCCAGAGATTTTCCAGTCTTTATTGGTTCACCTTTCTCTTTACCCCCATTCTAGATGCACAAATAAGCAGGAGAAAATTGCTCTTTACAAAAGTTGTGTGGTTTTTCTAAAGGAAAATGTACTTCAATTTGGCAAAGGAACAAAAGAAACTCGATCCCTCCTTGGTGCAGAGATATGTATTTATGCAAGAATAATGGTCTTAAACTTACCTTCACAGCATTAGAGGTGCCTGATTCCAGGGCATCCTTCGGCAAAGGTGGATTGCAAAAGGCAGTAATTTCCTCCTTTATTGGAAGTGCAAGTTCTTCCTTTGGGGATGATTTGCTGAAAGATTTCAGGACTGCCTCCTGCACACAGTGATCCTCTTGTGAATCTTTGCTCATTAAGCAGTTACCGTTGATGATTTTACAGGAAGACTCTTTCACATGCGGTTGAACCACATCATGGAGTGTCATTTGCCTCAGCCGGGCTTTGGAGCTCTCAGCACTTATGTGGCTTTTTTCTTAACAGTGAAAACCAGAAAAGCTATTAGAGAGATCTAAAGATTTATCAACTGTATTATTTCTATTGACAGCAGGAGGAATATTAGCATGGGGCAGGGGAAGTATTTTCTTTTTCACAGCTAGAAACATGCCCACTTTTCACATCCCACTTCTTCTTTTTTTAGTATATATGCTTCCTACTAGATTTGGGGACGGAAGAAGGATGACACTCCTAGCTGTCTCAGCTTAGTCTAAATGTGTGTTGGTGACACACATAATAGGCTCATCTGCATTTTGTTTCAGAATCTCTTGTCTACTAGTTGGAGCCTGGCTGGTAACAGATGCTATTTTAGCCAAAAGCTTAAGTGGTGCAATGAAAGCAACGTCTCACTTTCTCAGACCTAGAAAAGGAAAAAAATGTTGATTGGGCAGATTTACAGACTTGACTTACGTCCTGTTGCTAACACAGAAGGGGAAAAACTTGCAGTCAGGCCCAGGTTCTTCTTCATTGCAGCGGACATCCCAAAAACAGGAGATAGTTCTTCAGAATCCCAGTCTGGAGGTGGAGAATTGTTTGCAGATGGCTCTGAAAATCTGAGCACAGTTTAAAGGTTTAACATTTTTTTCCTATGGTTGGTAAAGGCTACAAAACCCCCCAAACCAACAGTCTTGTGAAAAAAAAAACTAATTTTCCTGAGCAAACAGGAAATCAAACATGAACCAATAACCTTAACTGAAACTGATGAATTCAGAACTTCAGAATAAGCAAAGGAGGACATACTTTCCCCTACAACTCTTGATAAGGAAAGGAAGTGTAGTGTGTTGGCCAACAGAGGTAAGAACTAATACGAAAGAACTTTGTTCGCCATTTGATAACTTGTTCAGGGTTTCTGAACTTTTAGCAGAAGATGTCATTGTTTTAACTTTTGTCTATACAGTAATACATTGCACAGTACGGCCTTGATTAGTGATGATTTGTTACAGCACGTGTACTTGGGCATCCATTTTGTGGCGCTCAACGGGGACCCAATCTATCAAAAGGAGTTAGACCAGACCTTTGGGGGACCTGAGGCTCTGTCTCTCTGCTCCATGCCAGAGGTAGGCTCGGCCTCTGGTACTTCACGCATAAAGCACAATGTTAAAATCACCCAAGTTAGCCCTCTCTTTTTCAGTGCATTCTGAGCACTTAATGGGGTATCACTGTACTTACAGTGACATCTTCAGAAAACGCAAAATAGTATAGTACGCAAAATTAATTCAATCCCTTGATTTTACTTCTGAGATATATTATTATTTTTAGAACTGTGAATGTATCTGATTTTCTTTTATAATATCTGAATTTCTAAATAAGCTATTTCCTGATTAGTGAGTGTTCCATATTACTTTAGTAGGACAATAGTTTCTGCAAAACTGAAATTATTCTGTGCAAGTTTATTCATCATCATATACAAGCATTTTAATATCATTTATTTTTACAGCATTCCTACGTTGCTTCATCGTAATAGATACCTTGCAAAGATAACAGTAAAAATAATATATTTGGAATATACATAAGTTTTAAAAATACATATTATTGCACAGAAATATCAAGAAATACATGGTAAAGTGAATTAAAAAAACAAGACAACAAAAGCCACAAATTCTACAACAAATCTTAATTAAGAAGCCATTACATATATATGAGAGAGGTTTTTCTTGGCATACACTCACTTTATCATTGCTATCTTGGGCACTTGAGAAGCTTTCGAAGACAGCCTCAACGTATTCTCCCTGGTCATTGACCACAATAAAATTAAGAAGCCATTACATATATATGAGAGAAGTTTTTCTTGGCATATACTCACTTTATCATTGCTAACTTGTGCACTTGAGAAGCTTTCAAAGATAGCCTCAACGTATTCTCCCTGTCATTGACCACAATAAATTATTATTATTACAGTGGTGCCTCGCTAGACAGTTACCCCACATGAGTTTTTTCGCTAGACATTGACTTTTTGCGATCGCTATAGCGATTCGCAAAACAGTGATTCCTATGGGGGAATTTCGCTGGACAATGTTTGTTCCCTGCTTAGCAAACAACGATTTTGACAGCTTCCTCCGCGCTCACAAAACAGGTGTTTTCGGGGCCTAAGCTTCACAAGACAGCGATTTAAACAGCTGATTGGCGGTTCGCAAAGCAGCTTTCCTATGGCTGATCTTCGCTAGACAATGATGATTCTTCCCCATTGGAACACATTAAACAGGTTTCAATGCATTCCGATGGGGAAATGCTTTTCGCTAGACAATGATTTTGCTAAACAGCGATTTCAGTGGAACAGATTATCATTGTCCAGCGAGGCACCACTGTATTATTAAAGATCACATTTCAAAGCCTCAAGGTATAGGTGAATTTATTTGTTCAGAATTGACAATTCCAAGGTTTTTAAAAAATCTAAAACTTACCCCTGGTTGTTATTATTATGCTTAGGGCGGCCAAGACCCACCATTTGTTTTCTGGAGACTCCTTGTGGTTTGTTCTGAGGCCCCTATGGATCAATATAATTTGACAAACAGTTGAAATATTTTTACAACACATTTTTAATAAGCCCCAAATACATTTCTTCACTCAAATCCAAGTACATGGAGCTGTTTTTAAAAATATCTCCAGTCAATTTGGAAGGGAAAGCTGAATTTGCATGCCTACAATCCTCAAAGCTAAATGCGTAAGTTCAGCATCAAATTGTTCATGTCGCTCCCCATCTTAGAAATAATATGACTGCAGGCGCTGCTGATGTGAGTGCAGCACCTCTAGCTGGACTGTTGTGATTGGACATTCATACTCCGACTGAGGGCACCCTTAATAAAGAAGCCAACTAAATTCTAAAGCAAGGGATCCCATTTCAGTAATATCTTTGCAATGAATTTGTAGTTACATATTATCAACAAATAAACATTTCTGGTACTGCAGAAAGATAAGAGTCTAGTATTCTATTGCATGGCTGCGCCAGTGCAATGATTACTGCTAATTAAAGAGTTCCCACTTCAATTCCAGGCTCTTCACTACACACGTGCAATGAGACAATGTTGTGCACAATCTGAAATCAAAGCAGGAGTTTTTAATCTCTGGTTTAGCCACTGTCATGTTTGGATGGCCATATTTTCACCCCACCTTCTAGCTTTGCTTTTCAACGGATTATAGCAAAAAACCCCAAAAACCTTCAGATTTTCTTAAGGTGTGACTACTACACAAATACAGCAATAAATATATATTATTCAACAGTGAAAAATGACAAGGTGAATATAAAATTTTAAGATTGATGTAGTTAGATGGCAATTCAGATTAGCAAGCAATTGCATTTATACATTATACGTAACTGATTGCTTTTGAGCTGATTGCTTTTATGTGTGATAGCTTTTTATCAGGGATGTGACTTTCAGAAAAAAAAGAATGCCCAGTCCTATAATTCACCCACAACCATCTTTAAGGGACCAGGAGCCATGAAACCAGCAAGAGGTAGAACAGCCATCTTACCTCTATGCCAATCCTGTGCTGCTGTAGGTAGAGCAGCCCTCTTACCTCCATGCCAATCCTGTGCTGCTGCTTTGGAATCCTTTAAAGCCTCCCTGATACATAGGGGAATGAGTTCCAACACACGCTGACTCCATGCACTCTTTATGAAGGCAGCCTCCATTGGAGCTTGTTTCCCCATGTACCTTTGAGAGTCCCAGGAAATCCTCATGACTCTCATGGTGCAGCAAGATACTTTTCTAAGGTTGCAAAGTAGCAGTGTTGAAAACAGCATGGAGGTAAGACAGCTGCTTTGCCTCCTGCCTATTTGACTGCTCCCAGTCCCATATTGCAGCCTGGGGGGAACGGAAGTTTGCTTTTCCAACAGCCCCATCCCTATTTTTTGCTGAATCATTTAGTGAAAAAATTACCTTTTCCTATGAGGCTTAGGCCAGAATCCTGTTGGGCAAAAATGCATTTGCAATGGCAATCATACAAGCATTTATCTCTTATGCTGGGGTATTTGTTGCATGAGTACTGGTTGTGAAATATCTGTCATATAACAGACGCCCTTGGCAATCAGGGAAACCACTAGGTTGTTTACCACGGCACACACCTTTTTCCCCAACAGGACTCTGGCCTTAATCTCTCAAATTAGACTTGGGACAGATCATATAAAACTATACTCACAGGTTCATCAAACCCAAGTGTTTCTGCAACAACTGCAGCCAAGTTAAAAACTGTTTTATCAGGATGCTCTCCTGTCACTTTTTCAGCTGTACCTATGGAAAAAAGAGAGCAGCAAATTTTACTACACATGATGCAACTTATTCTACTCTTGTTAGTAGAGTCTACAGACTGATTTAATCCTAAAAACTATACATCAATTGAGAACTATGAATGGAATAGTGTTTTCCTTTTGAGATTAATTACTTGTGAAATGACTTTACTGAATTCTTGATAAAAAGGCAGGATATTGTGTTTGCATACCCATTTGTGCATGTACACAAATACACATGGTTCAGTTACACACATTTATGCAGAACACATTTGATCAAAGATAATGCTTCAGATCTATTTTATTATTTATTAACTGCATTGACAGACCTTCATAGGAGCTTGCACAAAGAAACAATATAATTTAATAAAAACGAATCCAACAGTAGAAGTTGAAAATAAACATGTAAACATGCCTGGTGCCAAAATGACACTGAGCATGTCTCTGTGGAAAAGCCTTCCACAGCCAAGGCGCCATCAGAAAATAAACATGTAAACATGCCTGGTGCCAAAATGACAATGAGAATGTCTCTGTGGGAAAGCATTCCACAGCCAAGGCGCCATCGCTCCTGCAGTGACACACTTCAGTTGGCAGGGCAGCTGGGGAATGTCCTCCAAAGACCTCAAAAGATATGAAGATGTTCGTTTTCCTCTAGACCAGTAGCTCCCAACTTTGGGTAACACAGGCATATGTAAACATGCCTGGTGCCAAAATGACAATGAGAATGTCTCTGTGGGAAAGCATTCCACAGCCAAGGCGCCATCGCTCCTGCAGTGACACACTTCAGTTGGCAGGGCAGCTGGGGAATGTCCTCCAAAGACCTCAAAAGATATGAAGATGTTCGTTTTCCTCTAGACCAGTAGCTCCCAACTTTGGGTAACACAGGCATTCTTGGACTGTAACTCCCAGGAGCCTTCACCATCAGCTGTGCTGCCTAGGGTCATTCCACAGCCAAGGCGCCATCGCTCCTGCAGTGACACACTTCAGTTGGCAGGGCAGCTGGGGAATGTCCTCCAAAGACCTCAAAAGATATGAAGATGTTCGTTTTCCTCTAGACCAGTAGCTCCCAACTTTGGGTAACACAGGCATTCTTGGACTGTAACTCCCAGGAGCCTTCACCACCAGTTGCGCTGCCTAGGGTGTCTGAGAGGTGCAGTTCAAGAACACCTGGGTTACCCAAAGCTGGGAACCACTGCTCTACATATACTGCTTCTGAGCTGTGAAGCCTCATAAAGGTTAAAAAAAGCATCCAGATTTTGATTTTGCAGTACTATAGGTTGCCATGGTTCATGAAATATATGTAGTATATTGCACTTGTCTCAATGCTGTTCATATGTCTTTAGAAATGAACAGCTGAGTGCATGAAGGGGCTCCTAGAACCCTGTGGGACTAGTCCTGGCTCTGCACACACCAGCACTGCCCCCAAGCTGAACTATGACTGGCAGCATCCAACTGGGACAATGACATTGTGTATATGACTTCCAAAATGGGGGAAGAAATTCTTTGATTGTTGATGTGCAGAGTCACCACGCCATAGACAGAGATAGACCGGCATGTTTCTGAGGCCCTTTTCAAGCATTCAGAAGTAACAGTTGAAGAGGGTTAATAAACGGTTTTGGACTGCCTACTTGATTTAAATATATGATGATGTAAGATTGATACCTTTGTAAAAAGAAACACTGAGAGATTATGTATAAAAACTACATGCCATATTTCACAGCTGAAACACTGTTAAAAATTCAGAAGATGTCATTAGCTAAGGACATTTAACATGCACAGAAATTACCTTAGGGACCCTTCTATCAATATAGAAGTAATTATTCAGTAACAGAGTAATTCAGTAATATTGTTTTTTTTCTCTGAAGAGCAGGGGGAAAAGCTACTCAAAAGATTTATTTCTAAGTACAGTTCTAAAGGACATTTAACATGCACAGAAATTACCTTGGGGACCCTTCTATCAATACAGAAGTAATTATTCAGTAACAGAGTAATTCAGTAATATTGTTTTTTTTCTCTGAAGAGCAGGGTGAAAAGCTACTCAAAAGATGTATTTCTAAGTACAGTTCTAAGGGACAGTGTCTGCGAAGCAACCAACATGAATTTGACACAACTCCAGAAGGCAGTAGAAGATAGGAGGGCCTGGCGTGCTCTGGTCCATGGGGTCACGAAGAGTCGGACACGACTAAACGACGACGACAGTTCTAAACACAACTTCAAATGCTCCTTTCTGTTACTGAAATCAATATATAATTTTCAGACTCACTATATCTGCTTGATACTGGAGAAAGCTGTGGATCACAGGTATCTTCCACCAATACATCTTCTCCACAACAGACTTCTTGTTGTGTAGATGACAATGGGATCTTCCCAAGCTCTAGCAAGCCAGAAATAATGATTACAGTGAGCTTTAGTGCCTAGGCATAATATTTAAACACAAGTCATGGTGGCAATTCAATATTGTATAGATATCTGTATACATGTATGTCTTGGGATGGGAAAGAGAGTGACTGTGTTTTTAATAGGCAGTAGTAGATTGCATGTGTGCCAGGAGAGTCTGCTGAAAAGTTGGGAAGAGGGATAGAGCATATGTGGATAGAACTGTGTACTGATTGGCTGCTATGCTGCCTGGCTGTAGGGATGCTGTTTCACTTATCAGGAAAGTATCTGTAAGAGAGAGCCACTGTGTTTGAGTTGGTTTTAGAGAAACGAAGAGCTGAGATGTCTATTTCTGTGAAGAAGCTGTAAACTCTAATGTATGCTCTTCTTGTCCATGCAGACACACAAACACACATATATGAGACTAAATGAGTTCAAACTATAAAAAAAGAATGAAATAAAAGAAAAAGAATGTTTGCTGCTTGATAAAAATTTGACAGCCTGTAATATTGAACCTTGTTCATCAGTTGTGGTAGTGTTTAGGTGGCAATGGAAAGGGAACACTATCTGTTCAGCTGATTTGACAAAAGTGATATTCCAAAGAAAGGAGTTATTTACTTTGTAAATAAACAGCAATCTCAAATTTAGTGAAGGGGTTTGGAGTAGTTGTTTTGGTGATGGCACACACCTTGATTTATACTTGTTGAGTATCTAATGATGTAATCCAAAGGAATATATTTTCCCTATGTTGCTTGATTTCAACTATTCCTTGTGCATTTGAAAAATGTTGAAGTGCAAGGTTGTGTCATTATGATTTATACTTGTTGAGTATCTAATGATGCAATCCAAAGGAATGTATATTTTCCCCTATGTTGCTTGATTTCAACTATTTCTTGTGCATTTGAAAAATGTGGAAGTGCAAGGTTCTGTCATTGCTTCAAATCTCACCCAGACAGAAGCACAGAATCAGTGCATCCAACCTAGTTTTTTTTTCTAAATGTGTAAAGGTTACTTTACATTTTTAAAATTAATTCGTACTGATTTAAGAAAATACAAAGTAATGAATAGTTACAAATCATACAAATACTTTGAAAAGCTAGAATCAAAAGGTAATTAGCACTCCTCACCCACCATTTCTTTTTGGTTCCTTTATCTGACATTTTCTTTATATTTCTTTATTTAATTTCTACACCACCTTTTTCTTGTGCAGGGATCTAAGGGAGTTCACAAATTTTATGATTATTATTTTTCTACTTCATCCATGAGATGTCACCCTAGTAAACCAATTCAATGATTTTTTTTCAGGGCCATATTGTTCAGTGTCTGAATCATGCAGTGTATCTGTGTCAGAGGGAATGATTTAGATGCTTTAAGGAGCAATTTTGGCCTCCTGAGACATTGTTATTGCTGTTGATCTTGCTTCATGATATATAATTACTTTTACTGCCTGTCTATACCAATTCCAAGTTTCCTAATTTGTTCAGGTAGCCATGCTAGTCTGCGTTGGCATATCAGGCATATCAGCAAAAAAGAAAAGAAAAAAAAGAGGAAAAAACAATAGCATCTTTCATCTAATCTTTAAAGTGACACAATGTTTTTGTCTTTTTTAATTTTTTCTTTTGTTTTTGCCTGATATGCTGATTTGTTCAGTACAGAATTTAAAGTTCATTCTTCGTAGGGTTGATGTAGCTATATTTGTGAAAGTTGCAATGTACAGGCATACCTCGGTTTACGAAATTAACGAGTCCTTTGGACATTATGTAATGCGTAGATTTCGTAAACAGGTACGGTGATTGTGCTAGGAACGGGGGAGGTGCTAGAAACCTCCAGGCACAATGCATCCTGGGGAAACCCCTTTGTACAGAGGAAAAGAAAAGAGAAAAAAAGAACGTAAACCGAAACATTATTTTCTATGGATTTCAGTTCGTAAACAGACAATTATATAAACTGAGGCTTTCGTAAACCGAGATCCCGCTGTACTCTTTTTTGGTATCCTATCCTGGATAGAACAGAATCTTTGAGGATCCCTAGTAAACCAGAGGATTAATAACAACCACAAAAACCTGGTGGTATGAGAGATGAAAATATTAGTGTAGCAACTGTTGCCCAAAAGTCTCTGAAAAAACTTTATAATATACTGCCTTCTGATTTCAAGCAACTAAAACAGCCTGACCTATATCAATATATTTCACATAGTATGACAAGACAATGGAAATGATAAGCAGTGAAGGGGAAATAATTAATGTACAGGACACAATCACACACACCCATACATCTGTGGAAGGAGATTGGAACAGGGCTCCATGGAACCCTCTTCCTTTTTCTCTTCAAGCCACTGGATAGATGGGGATGCAGCTCAATATTTCTGCTATGTTCAGTCCAATCATGGTATTAGTATGCGGCTCTACATTACTTAGCTCATAACCTGGCTGGTTCCTTCTCCTTCAAGGAGAAATAACCTGTCTATGACAGTGAAGTAAAATAAGGGATGAGTCACTTGAATCCTCAGTGAAGGGAGCAGGACAGTTACAACAGGAAGTATGTATGCATCTCCTGTTGTTACTCAGGCACCCTCTTAACAGAGGGGTAGGGAAAAAGAAAGAAAGCTCCATCAAGCATGTATGCATCTCCTGTTGTTACTCAGGCAGAGGGGTGGGTGGGGGGAACTCCATCAAATATGATGCTCCAGTGTCAGGAAAGATGGATCATGCCCATTGTGTCCTCTTCAACCCTTATATGTTTTAAAACATAGCTGCTTTTCAGTTAGTATCTTATGTTATTTAGTTGAACTTTCTGTCATTGAACAGTGCAGATGTGTGAGTACATACAAGATTTAAAAAAAAGAATTTGTATTTCTAAAAATAGTTTTTCTTAAAGTGACACTTCATGCTTTAGACTGATGTTAAAATAATTTTTAAAGCAGCAGCTGTACTGTCACTATACATGATCAAAGATATATTGAAATTATTGTAATATTAATGTATAAACTGTATTCTAAAAATCTTAATTCATCTTTATTCACATTTAGGTATACATTTATGTACAGTAAGATTGAAATCTTCATATTGTCCATTAGATGGTAGTATGAGTCAGACAAGGAAATTCTAATCTGTATCCTATGAGAAGAGAACCTTGGTGCACATTTTTCCTGTAATATGTATCTTTTTCATGTAATTGCCAGGCACTTAGAAATACAACTTGGCCATTGTTTTTTTTTAATTAAGGCATTTAAAATTGTAAATTTTCTAGCACTGACAAAGTGAGTTAAAAAAACAACAGCAGCTTTTCTAAGAAGAAAGAAAAGAGTATTAAGAAATCATTGACAATTTTCTATCATTCTTGACATTGTAATTATTTCAAGTATTTTTAGGGGGAAAGAGGAAGCATACCATCAAGTCTTCCTGTCTGTTCCAAATCTGTACACCTTTGTTCTGTGTATCTGACATGCCTATTCTCTCGTTTTCGGCGCATTCGATTAGCTGTTGAAAGTGACTGAACTGGTGAATCTGGAATACATTCTTCCATATATTGCTCCTGCTCTCTAAGAAAAACAAACAAAACAAACATGAAATCTTTATACCGTCCCCCACCTTTCTGCACTTTTTTGTCTCATAGGATCAAGGAGAGCTTGGCACCTCTTGTCTCATTTGTTTACTCTTTCTAATGGAGGAAGAAAGCAAGCTGCAAGGTAGGAAGACAGAGACTAAGAAGGAACTAAAGGAGCTGCAGAGGCTTCAGGGGGAAGGGGTGTGTGGAAAAGCATGGCCACAATTAAATACAGTGGACCCTCGACTTACGGACGGCTCAACTTACAGACTTTTCGAGTTACAGACTGGCCGCAAAATTTAGGTTCAACTTGCAGCCGGAGAATTGACCTACAGACCAGAAAATAACCAAAATGGAACCAAAACGGAACAAAAACGGACGGTTACGGATTAATCGGTGTTCAACGCATTGTAGGTCAATGGAGCCTCGACCTACAGACTTTTTGACCTGCAGCCACCATTCCAATACGGATTAATTCCGTACGTAGAGGGTCCACTGTAAAGAAAGCAAAAGAGAGTAGCCATAATGTACTGGGGCAAATAAGAGAAAAATCAGGAAGAAAATAGCAGAAACGCTGGAAAAAGGCAAATATTTTGTCATTCCAACTCAAGAAACAGGGAATTATTTGCAAGGATTTAAGAGGAGTATAGTGACTGAGATTGGTAGAAGTGGCAAGAGAATGCTGAGGTAGAAGTGACAATTGATGGTAGGATGAGAGCCACAGTGGATGATTATGATGTCTCAAGTGGAGACAAATAATGTGAAGGCTGAGAGATGATCCTAGAAGTGATACTACAATCATTTCCCAGCTTCATTACACTATCATGAAAGTTCTGCAAGTTTTGCTTTGGCTTATCATTTGAGTCTAATTTGTAGTGGCCAGTGGCCATTCCCTCTGCTGTATCTTCCCCCACTCCCAAGCCAGAGAAAAAATGGGCTGAAGAAGGTCTCTCACACTGGCTTGGACTTGAAGACAGGCAGAAACATTTTAAAAACTTAGCAGCAAGTCCTAAGAAATCCCCACATTCCTGCCCTGATTGATAGGGAGTAAGAGAAGCTTTCCATAAACTGTTGAGGTTTAGAACCTCTCTGGGATCTGAAGTTCAGCAGCATTCTTCCCCCTCAGGAAAAGAGATTTCACATGTTCCACTGAGCAGACTGTACTTGTCATGAGAAAATCTATATAGAGAGCAAATGTATAGAGACTTGGTTGCTATCATCATCTTCATCATGCCTATTAAATGAGAAAAACTACACTTACTCTATCCTTTGTTGCATTTTCTGAAGCTGTTCAGAAATCTTTTTATTTTCATCCTGTAAGTTGTTTCTTTCATTCACTGAAATATATTAAAAAGAAAAAAAAAAGAAAAAAAAGGCAATTTCTAATTCTTTTTTATGGCATCATTCAGCCTTTTAACAAGTCCATTACATGGTACCTGTCATAAACCTCCATGAAGTTGCACTCTAAATCCCTCAGTTTTCATTCTAGACAAAGCAGTCTAGTCAGTCACCAACAGGGATATTTTACAAAGCAATTCATAACATAATGGTACTGAACAGGCTCACTGTAAAATAACACATAACTGTAATACATTATTTACTAGGTTTCATCTCCTTAACATGAGAATATTTCATCAGATATAGAAATAAAAGCTGCTGAAATGTCATGCAAAAATCCCCTGGTCATACTGATTTTTCCATCTGTTTAGAACTAACTTTCATAAGTTCACTTTGGTCTTTAGGGTACGCCACTGCTTCCTATGGTGGAGCAATGATGAAAGACCACAATTGTGATTTATAAATCAGCTTCAAACCATGGTTTAATAGTCTGATTTTGTAGAAAGCTCATATGCCAACAAAGGCTGGAATTGCACACAATGCATAGTGTAGCTTTACAAATGACGTTTGGGTGTGGTATCTGAATGTAGCATTTATGTTTGAGGAAAATCTATTCATAAAATTGAACTTAAGGGGAAAAATTAGAGAACAGTTCAATTTCACTCAACTTCCCTCTCCATTTGTGGCAATTCCTGACATTTCAAAAGAAAACCCATCATACATTTTGTCATGATAAATTAATAATTTTGAAAGCGAGTAGCATTTTATTAGAGGGACGTGGTGGCGCTGTGGGCTAAACCGCAGAAGCCTGTGCTGCAGGGTCAGAAGACCAAGCAGTCGTAAGATCGAATCCACGTGACGGAGTGAGCTCCCATCGCTTGTCCCAGCTCCCGCCAACCTAGCGGTTCAAAAGCATGCAAATTCAAGAATTGAACTTAAGGGGGAAAAATTAGAAAACAGTTCAATTTCACTCAACTTTCCTCTCCATTTGTGGCAATTCCTGACATTTCAAAAGAAAAAACCCATCATACATTTTGTCATGATAAATTAATAATTTTGAAAGTGAGTAGCATTTTATTAAGGGACGTGGTGGCGTTGCGGGTTAAACCGCAGAAGCTTCTGTGCTGCAAGGTCAGAAGACCAACAGTCGTAAGATCGAATCCACGTGACGGAGTGAGCTCTCGTCGCTTGTCCCAGCTCCTGAATTTTATTAGTCAGCTTAAAATTTAGGAGGCTAACAGCACAATGTTATACATGTCTACATTGCAATAAGCCAAATTAAGTTCAGTTTGGTTTACTCTCATTAAGTGGGCACAAGATTTTAGTCTAAGCCTCCTTAGGAGAACTGGTGGTCTATCAATAACATTACTGAGAAACTATACCAACAAAGGATATTGCAGATGTCACAAAAATGATGGCATGACTCAGAGTGGTAGACTGTATCAGATGGGCGGGATATAAATCAATCAAACAAACAAATAGTTAAAACTCACTCAATTCAGTAATTAGCTTAAGGTTTTGTTGCCGGATGTTTTCAAATTCCTGTTGTTTCTTTTTCATGTGCTCTTCAGTTACTGCACAACGATCACACAACCCTGCTCTTAGCCTAGATAAATTAGAAGATGCTTTTGTCATAATTTGTTAGATAAGTATAATAAATTTTAAAAATTTTAAATAAGAGAACACCATAGATGGGCTTATAGAAAATGACAACATTTCACATAGAAATATTACTACTTAAATCCTGAGATATTTATGAGAAAAATATTTATGGACTTATGGATCTTACCTCTAAGTAATCATACACAGAATACTCTATAAAAGGCTGTTGAAATAACTCTAAACAATAAAGTATGCTTCTTAGACAATTGTAATTTCATTACTGGATGAAAAGATGCACATTATCTTTTGTGGGAGGGAAACATTGTTTTTCCACAGCGGTCCTTATCTCATGGGTCTTGCATTGTATGTCTTAAGAGTTTGTAGCTGCACACCATTTGAAAGGGCTTCTGCACAAAATGAGTCATTACTTTGGTTCCTGGGCTAGGGTAAATGATATTAACGCCTGCCATTCTTGTGATAGTAATAATGTAAAACATTCCTTATACTCCAATGAGCAAGAACAGCATGACTAAGGAGAAAACACAAGGTAGAACCTTCCTTGTCCATGCCATTTCTACTTTTTAAAACCTTAGCTAATCAGAAGCACAGCTGCACAGCGATGCAGAAACTGGGATTCTGGAAGACCAAATAGGATGGCAAACAAGGAGCTGCCTTCTGCCTTTGCATGTGAGAGCTTAACTGTCACATACAGCACTGATGGTACCTGTCTGTCATGGGTTTGGAGGGAAAGTTCCATCCTATGGGGAGTGGAAGGCGGGACATCAGGGGGAGGAGCTGTACTGTATATATATTTGGAGCTTGTGTGGAGAGTGAAGAGTTAGAGTCTGTGTGTCAGACTGGGTACAACTGTGTGTCAGTTAGTACATACCTGATAGGTTCAGGTCTCTATCTAGGTAGCCAGAACTGATAGGTTCAGGGTCTGTGCGTTACCTTAAAATCTGACGCGGAAGAAGACTGATGACCGCCACATTAACCAGAGATGCTCAATGTTCAAGAGAAAGCACCAGCAGAACTATTATGATGGGAACCCCATATTACAGTGGGAGGCCATTTGTGGTAGCAGTGACACTTTATATCAGAACCTTTCTTTGTGTTGCTTGCAACTAAGCCAAGAAAGCCTCTAATTAATCATTATGTTAAAGCACAGTTTAATACCCTGGTTTGTTCCAAAGCTGGTAACCACAGTGTGCTTCTTTGTTTCCTTACACGTTAAGGGGGAGGGGAAACAAGCGGGTCAGCATCTTCAGGGTTGTTCATATTACATTTGCTGAAAAAATTTAAAACCTAAAATTTAAAAGTTAGAGCACTTTTGGATAGGATGTTACATGTAAGCCAAACCAGCATAGCAATCCTATGTATTTTACTCATAGGTAAGTCTCATTTTGCCTAGTGGGACTTTTGGGGTGTAGCCTGGTGTTTTAGCAGGAATGTTGGCAAGTCTTTGGGTTCAAGTCCCAAATCTGAGTCCAAATTTTTGGTACCAAGCCCAAAGTCCGAGTCTTTTATACCAAGTCCTGAGTCCCAAGCTCCAAGTCCAAGTCCTTATGAAAAACAAGCTTTCCCCGCAAGAAAAAGGAAGAGGTGGACTGGTAACCACAGTGTGCTTCTTTGTTTCCTTACGCGTTAAGAGGGAGGGGAAACAAGCGGGTCAGCATCTTCAGGGTTGTTCATATTACATTTGCTGAAAAAATTTAAAACCTAAAATTTAAAAGTTAGAGCACTTTTGGATAGGATGTTACATGTAAGCCAAACCAGCATAGCAATCCTATGTATTTTACTCATAGGTAAGTCTCATTTTGCCTAGTGGGACTTTTGGGGGTGTAGCCTGGTGTTTTAGCAGGGATGTTGGCAAGTCTTTGGATTCAAGTCCCAAATCTGAGTCCAAATTTTTGGGACCAAGCCCAAAGTCCGAGTCTTTTATACCAAGTCCTGAGTCCCAAGCTCCAAGTCCTCATGAAAAACAAGCTTTCCCCCCGAGAAAAAGGAAGAGGTGGGTAGATTCCAAGTTGAGAGTTGAGTCCAAATCATTGAAAACAACAGCAACCCTGAGTTGAGTCCAAGTCGAGTCGTCAGTGTCCAATTTGACAGTAAGTCCCGCAACTCAAGTCCCAATCTCTGTCTGCTTGTAGCACTATGGGGCGGTATGTAAGTCCAAAAACAACAACAACAACAAAAAACACAACAACAAAACAAAACAAACAAACAAACAAACAAAAACCTCAAGTCCCAATCCCTGTATTTTAGTACATTGGTTATATCTTAAATATATGATAACAATTCTTTTTATATAGTATTTATTATCCAGATTGCTTTTCAGTACATGAAAGACACAAGCAGAACTGTGGTCTTTAATAGCGAAGCCAATGCCAATCAAACATTTTAACATCTTTTTTTATCCTTCAGAATAAGAAAACTGTTCCAGGTGATCAATTTGCGGAATATATCTATCTGAAAAAGGTAGCCATGTTAGGACTCAGGATGTTTCAAATCCCTACTCAGCCATGAAAACTCATGGGGGAGTGCACTAATAAAAACACTCCGTAAATATCTCATAAATCTTGGAAAACCTGTTAGAGTTATTTGCCAAAAAAAGATGTCCAACAGAAATCTCACTCTGAAACTGAGATTCATTAAAAAGTGGGTCAATGAACACCTTCTCTCTTTCCTGGGTTATTTACAATAAACAAAGTCATTGTGGGCATTGTAAGAGGACTATGAGGACTGAGATCAGAGATTTAACTCTTTGGGTTGGTGATGGCTTGAACTGCACTTTCTTTCCTTTAGTTCTTGGGGAAACAAAAAAATTGAAGCAATCCAGAAATACATGTCTTAAAAACCTTGCTAGGAGCTAAACACATATCCATTTTTCTACATAATCTGGAAGAAATGGAAACTTCTGAACAAATTCTTATTTGCTAGAGAGCTTTATTTCATAAGAGGCTCCAAGAGATGTCCCTGTCCTGTTACAAAAAACTGCCCTAGAAGAACTGAGAGGAATTATAAATTTTCTTCAAACTATGGCCAATTTCTCATCTTATATATCAAACACATTTAAGATCATAATTGAAAAACAGCAATAATAGAACACAAGCTTGAATTATCTAGTGGATTAAAAAGCACATGTCTAGTTTATAGCACCTTTTTAAATAAAACAGGTTAAGGTTAAATGAAAACCATGACTACATTTTATATTCTTCTACTTACCGATCTTCTAAAACTGTAATTGTGTCATGCAAAGATTTCTGTTGCTCTCTAAGTTGCTGGTTCTTTGTGTAATACTCATCAAGCCTCTCTGCATCTCTAAAAGTAAATAGAAATTCACTGACAGATACACATGAACAAACATTTGTACTATCTTATTTTGACAGTTGTGTCAAATTAATGTCTTCAAAGAAACAAAGTACTACAACCACTAATAAAAATATGTACTGTCTGTACTACAGGATATATCACATCTGTTGCAGCTCAGTTTTCCATACTGTATCATAAATTTGATGCACTGGGAGAAGAATTATTGATGTTGCATGGAAGAATGAAATAGCAGTATAATGCAACACATCCTTTTTATAATTGTGTGTATGTCAAGCAAGAATTTTGCAGTGGAATAGACTTGAATGGAAATTTAAAGATGGGTAGTCAAACTATAGTAAGGAACAGAGCCTTAATGGATTACACAATGAAGATGTTGTTCTAGGCACACTGTGGATTGAGAAGTATTAAGGAAATTATAACAAGATGGGAAGACAGAGTTTGTTTTTCTAACCATGGTACTGATCTGCTCATGGGTTCAACTGTAGCATCTGCAAGGAAGAAATGCACAATTCACTTCTGCATTCCAGTTACCTCTCTGCAGCTGATGATCTCCTCAAACAGTTGAAGATTACTTTCCTGCCAATGGCTAAATTTAAATTTGCAAACAGGAGAAAAAAATCTACTAAAAATAACTATAAAAAGGGGAGAATACTGAAATGACATGAGCCAGTATCAACATCTAATATAATACCTCCTTTTAACTGCTGGGATGTCAAGGTGTAAGGATAGTATGTATACTCTTAGAAAAGCCATATGATACCCCAAATGATTTTGAATGTGTACTAATTTTCCCAATTTCCTTCTGAAGCTGTTGTAACTTAAGAGGCATAAGCTCCTTGCATAGCTACGAAGCTGCTGTGACTTAGGGGCTTGAGCTCCCAGCTTAGCTATGAATTCCGTGGGTGATGTTAAGAAAACCACCCACAGCGGCAGTAAAGGGATGCTACCAGCCCACCTTCGAACAGTCTTATGCTGACAGTATTTTATAAAGCAATGATATGTGTGAATTGATCAGGAAGAAATTCTTGTAGGGGCTTACTCTCAGTTGTTCACAGAACTGCAACCAGTATTCCACAAATACTGAATAATAAGATAAAGGTTATAAATGGCATTTTCTGCCAATTTATGTCTCAGCATGTTCTGGTAAGTACAGGGACTTGCCAGGATCAAAGATGGATGGCCACCTAACATTGTAACAGATGTGTTTACTGTGGTGACCTACCTGACATGGAAGTAGCCCTTCTACAGGGACTTGCCAGGATCAAAGATGGATGTAACATTGTAACAAATGTGGTTACTGTGGCGACCTACCTGACATGGAAGTAGCCCTTCCACAATAAACCACTTGTCTTTGCTCCCAGGCTTGAGAATGCAATAATATGAAGGTTGCTAGCTTTGTGACAAACCACAACACATGGCAAATATTTTGTGATTGGCTTGAGGTATCGGAATTTACATAGGACAATGGTAAATTATTATTTCATCCAGTTCAGCCTTTGCCACCTAGTTCCCTTCAAATGTGCCAGACTATAACTGCTCAAATATTTTTTCACTGCAGCAGTGAAAATACTATCAATCAAGGCAGAAGTCCTGTTCATCCTTACCTGTGAGTAAATTTACCCATGGTCAGGCTGCATGCTGCAATCTTAAAGATACTTACTATGAAATACATCTCACTGAACTCAGGAGATTTGCAACTAATCATGAGGAAACCTGATTAAGATCAGTTGGCTAAGACTGCACTCACATTCTAAGAATAGAGCTAAAAGTGAAGAAAAAGAGAGGACGATTTATGAGGATCCTGATACCGCTTGACAAAATCAGCTGACTCCTTGGCTATGAAAACAGCCTTCCTAATGAATGGCCTCTCCTGACTCTGCATTTAGAAGGCCATTAGCTTCTGCACTGAACCAGGATGCAGCATAAGGGATCCATTGTCGAGCTTGTTATCAGCTCTGAAATATTAAACCTCAGGTATTCAAGAAGAGTGACGGAGAACAAGAATTCCTGAAGAAGATTATTGTATCTACAATGCATTACTTGTAGGATGTTTCCAGCAAATAATAATTGAATCCTTTAGGTTGGTATGTATTAAGTCATAATAGCAGATCATCAGTAAGTCACATCTTCCATGTCTAAGGCTTGGATTGTGAGCTTCAGAGAGAAAAAAGACATAGTAGACACATAACAAGAAATAACATTTGCTACACTTAGCAAGAAATATTGTATAGAAATCTCTTCTGAACTAGTCTTGCACTTTGAAAAAGATTCTGAGGACTCTTATATTGCTCACAATATATTGCTTCAGTTGAGGAAAGGGATGATACCAGGACTCTGTCTGGAAAACCACATTCTGATGTACAAAACCTTGTATTTGTTCTTCTTCCAAGACACTGGAAGTTCCCTTTATTTATGTTGTGGTCAGAAAAATATACTCTTCTACCGTTCAAAAGTACGAAGGTTAATTTGTTATTCTGTATATGCCTAATAAAGGTTTCTGAATCTGAACTGAACCGGTTAATTTATTCTTCAATTGTTATGGAGTCAAGCCTTAGCAATGAGAAATGATATAAAGCCGAGCCCTGTACGTTCTGACACAAAATATACTGCCATAAACAGTATTCTAAAATGCAAGTGGCAATTGCAATTTATGTAGATTGGAGTGCATTCCACAGCAAACTAATAATTCTTAATCTTTGGAATCCAGACTGGCTTCTGTACAAAGTATGTGCAAACTTATCATTCTCTAGATACAACATGGAGATGTACTAGAATAAACATTTTTAACTGGAGCACTAGCTACTGTATGCAACACGGGTGGCGAACATATACATCTCCAAATTTTGCCAGATTCCAGTTCCCATTAGCTTGACTCAACTAGACTTTATTACTGTATTGGCATTATAGCAACCAGATTCATACAATACAGTGAAGACAAAGTAAACTAAGTTTCACCGACAAATTTTAATCTGAAATGAGGAACAGTACATTGAAGATGAAATGACAACATTACAATTTAAAATTTTTTCAAGGAATGATAAATGGGAAGACACACACACACACGTGTATATATATGTATATGCATGTATTTCAAAATGTGGAAATAAATGTCATGATTTCAAGTTGAACAAGGATTTTCTTCATATCAGTGGATACTTACCTACGCCTTTCAGTTTTCAGTTTGGATATCTTCAAGAGTAATCCTAAGAAGGAAAGACAGAAAAATCAATGATTTTGCTTCAAAAATTCCCTTTGCTTGACAATTAAATGAAGGACAGTATTTTTAATATGAGGTTCCTAAAGAATTAACTATGGACAACTTTAGAGCTGAATTACATTTTTAACAATGTATTTCAGAATTTATACAGTAATTTGTTCCTCATTTGCTTCGGTTCTCAAAGCCAGTAACAGCAAAGTAATACAAGATAATCCAAAGAAGTACAATATATTTTTCTTCAAAGTTAAACAAGATCACAATATACACAGAACAGGTAAAATCAGGACAGTCTTCAGTTTTACCCATAGACTTAAGTTTGCCTACACAGAAAGATCTTTACTGTTCTACTAAAAGTGAATGTAAGTAATATACTCTGAATGAAAACGTTCTTCAAGAGGGGAGCCACCACTGAAAATTCTGTTCTCTGTGGCTGTTAATTTTACCCCATATTAACTTTATCTTTCAAGGTGCAAGTAAACCTTTTGCAATGTTGCAGTTATATACTGTACTCCGAAGAGAAAGCACTGATTACCACACATTCTAAATCACCCAAAGTTTTTAAACTGCCTTCAACAGCAGCCCTGTACAGAAAGTTATTGTATTTTAGCAAAGAGACTGTCAGAAAATACAAAGAAGTAGTGAGTTTCCTCTTTGTTAGAAAAAAACACAGCTGGACGTGGAAGGGAACGTACTGATCCACTAGCATCTCTAAATTATACATATTTTTTTTAAGTGAGTATGATTCCATTCAAAAAGTCAGTCTAAATTGTAATAATGTGGCCTTTAATTTATAAAGCTTTTTAACCTTTTTTAAAAGCTTTTTAATAATTGTTTTGTTTTAGGTAGCCAAAGGGATAGAAAGGTGGTTAATATTTTTAATAAATGAATTTATCTTTATTTTAGCATTGATGCTCAGTCTTCTGCTTTAGAAAACACTGGTCATAGTCAAAGATTAATGCCATGGACATTTAGAAGAGAAAGACAAAACAGAAAGTGTATGAAAACTACTTTAAAAGAAAATTGGGGAAGACAAGAGAAATACAAAGATATCTCTTATCTCACAAACACTCAACATCACAAACATATTATGCTTGATCATTCCGATCAGCCAAGGAAGAAATTTTCTTAAAATGTGGCTGCTATTTGACAAGTCCCTTAGATATCTGGAATTAAGACCTCTAATCCTTCTCCACGCCCATCAGAAGGAATGAAACTGTACAACAATGAAGCTCCTGTAAGAACAGGTAGTCTGGCTGCAACAGCATTTTGTACTGTAACACAAGACACCTCAGCTAGTGAAGAAACAGTTATGAAACCTTAATCTGAAATCAGAAGAACTAAACTCACCAGAATATTTCTAAAATCTCCATGCAGTAATTCTTAAGCATCAAACTAGTATTCTGGCATCCACTTTGTTGCATATAAGCCAAAACCATTACATACACAAATATTGCAAAAACATTACTTCTCTACAGAGGTCTAGAATATTTACCCTTCACACCCTATTCTCCTTCAATAAAACAGTTTGATCCCCAACTCATCAAAACTTGGGATATTTCTGGTGAAATCAGATTAGTCCAAGTAGAGTGTATGGAGGTGAACTGGTTTAAAAGGAACTGCTTTCAACTGCTGTTGTGTCTTTTCAAGAATCGAGCACGAGCAAAACACATTAAAAGCATAGTAAAAACAAAAATTATTATTACTCTATTTCTTTAAGTTCATCAAAATCACAAATTTAATGTGGGTTGAAATAAATTAAATTAAAATAGAAATTGGTTGTTGTGGGTTTTTTGGGCTCTTTGGCCGTGTTCTGAAGGTTGTTCTTCCTAATGTTTCGCCAGTCTCTGTGGCTGGCATCTTCAGAGGACAGCACTCTGTTCTCTGAAGATGCCAGCCACAGAGACTGGCGAAACGTTAGGAAGAACAACCTTCAGAACACGGCCTAAGAGCCCAAAAAACCCACAACAACCATTAGATCCCGGCCGTGAAAGCCTTCGCGAATACATTAATTTAGAAATTATTGTTAGATCAATCCAGATGACATTAGCTAGCTCCACCAAACAGGAGAGGTGTCGTAGCTCAGAGTACAACACATGATTTGCATGCGTTACACAGATTCAACTGCCAGTATTTCTAGATTGGACAATGAAAGCGCCTGAAATCTTACACCGCTAGATGTACCAACGATCTGAGTAAGAATACAATAGCTTTCGATATTGCTATGTTTACTGGTCATCACTAAGATGGGAACATTTGCTGGGGAAAATGAAGGATGAGAAGGGGGATTATCCACCCTGCCACATCCACTGATTTTCTTTCATAATGAGTTCCCTCAGTACTTTTTCTCCACCAGCTTGGCTTGTTTTTGGTCTCTTGAGTCGGGTGGAGGAAGTTGGACTGAAAAAGAAAACACCAAGGGGAGGAGCTGCACAGAAAGAATTAAGACTCCTTCCATTAATTCTACTTTAGAAGCCTTTGCACTATGTTTAGAGTCAGAGGCAAATAAAACAGATTTCTTATTACTGTATCCACAAACAATGTGTTAGCACATGCTGTTCAACTACTTCTACCTATAGTGGAAATAGATAAAAAACACACAGAATTTGGCATGGCAATTGGTTTGTTGTGTGAAATCTCACTGCACTTTCTAGTACGTTGCATTAGAGTAGGCCCACTGAATCAACGGGAATTTAATGAGTCACCTCCTCTGTAAGTACCTTTGATTCAAATCGTCCGACTTTAGCTGTTACTTACTTTGCTGAAGTATTTTGGCCATCAGTGTTTTCTTCACATAAAATAATGAAATTGTCTGATTTAAGACACAAAAATGAACCAAAGCAGAAAACAACTGTGCTCATTTTCACATACAAAAGCTTGTATTTTGTCAAGACGGCCAGCATCAAGCACAGTATACTCTCTATTTGATTGTGTTTTCCCCAGCAATGCTCTGTTAAAATACTGGGGAAAAAATTAGACCACATAAATTGGTTCCTTCTCCTTTTTTTGTTAGTGTAAGTATGGGTTTGTGTAGAGAATCCTCAAGAAAAAGACACAGCACAACAATTAGACATAAGCATCAGGCACTCACTTCCTTGATTATAGTCTCATATAAAATATATTTTGCTGACACTTGGAATTAAACATCCATGAGTCAGGTTTAATTCTTATTTATAGACTTCAGAAGTAAGTGAAGTCCAGGCAAGTCTGAATTTGATGTGTCTTAAATATTACCGTACCCAATTCTACAGGAAGACTCCCCACCTTTTGCAAAAATTAGCTATCCTTCAGGCATGTCTTTGATGTAATCACACAGGATCTAACTTCACCAAGCATTGTGTTGAACAGTCACAAAGGTTTAGGCATGAAAAAATCTGCCTTATGGCAAGATCATACTGGCACACCCAAAGCTGATCTTAATTACGTGTATTTAGAAATAAACCTAATTGATTCAATGGGATTTATTTCTAAGTATACATGTATCCAGGAAGTCTTTTCAAAAATTATCCAGCAAGATTTTATTTTTCAAATTCCAAAATAATGTTTTCTTTTTTTCCTGCTAAACATTATAAGAGTCACTAGACAGCCTATTATGTTAAAAAGCAGTTTTCTCTTATGTGGCTCCATAATACAGACACTCCTAAGATTGCCAAATTCTCTACTGTTGATGTCTCAGCATGTGCCCTGCTGATGACATACCACCCACCATAAAAAGTCAGCTGCGGAACAAACTGAGCCAAGAAGTACAAAGGTTATGTTCTTTTCATCTAAAACCATCACAGTACTGATAAACCTAATAAATGTAATACACTTAATTTATGGCCTATGGAATATAAAATATTTTCTGCGTTTCCTTCCTGATGCCTTCCCAGTTCAATACAGAACACATATTGCGGAAACCAGAACGAATGCCTATGCATCAAACTTGCCATCTTATACTATGATTCCTTCTTAGCTTCTAGAAAGGGGATGATACCTATAATCCATGGATGCTCATAATCAAACATCAGTTTATGCCACACTATAGCATATGTTAGAAAGAGGTACTTTAATTATTCCAGAAGATAGGGCTATAAGTTTCTGCATGCTCAAACTTGACTGCTACTGCCCACAGTATTTCTATTAGACTGAGTAGTGGCTATCAAAGTAGGCAGCAGCATAATTACACAAAGTTCGTAATATACTGTATAGCTGTATCTGCTTCTCAGCATAGGCTAGCTAGATAAGTAAAATGTGCTGTTGGCTATTTCCCCATCCACTGGCTTCTGATATTGTATGTTAGTATTATTGGCATTCCTGGACAGTTGCAGTTGCACAAGACTCCTGGATACTGCTTCTATTGTAGCTTTCACACATCTCGTGTTCTGGAACTTTATTATGGGTAAGTAACTGGGGCTGCAATTTCAACCCACTTACTAAGGAAGAATAAATCTGACTAAACCCAGATGCACTTCAAATTAAAATGCTTAAGGTTATGCTATGGGATTGGTTTCATCATGGTATTTATTCATTGCATTATTCATTGTATTTATTCTTGTGGTTTCCCTGACATTTCTATATTTCATATATTAACAATAGCCAATAAAGCTTATGTGTGATACACTTATTCTTTTCTTGCATACCATCTGCAGGGATATTTTAGTTTACTGATTAACCACCTCTTTGCAATAAGATAATAAACTTGCTTAACACACTTCATGGTTAAAAAAACTAGCAACAGAACATTGGATAGAACATTGGATAGACTTATTCAGATAAAGCATGAAAAAAAAATTAATCTGCTTGCCAATACACTGATATATAAAGTTCCATTTGTAAAACTACACACTGAAACAAGATAACATTAATCTGCAATTACAATCTATACCCATCCACCATCACTTATGTTTTCCTCACATGTTTACTGAATACACAAGGCATAAAACCAGGTGATCAGGAGCTAATTATGTTGTATTTGTTTGGTAAACATACAGTGTTAATATGTTGAACTCCAACTGTACAAGCAGATGCAAAACTCAGAAAGGACTATTAAAATGAATCAACTAGTATAATATTTTGTTGGCACTGCAGTTGTTTTCTTAAACAAATATGTGCAACTCTCAAACCTGGAAATTTAGGGACATTTCATTTATGAATGGACTCATCATTCTTAGCATTGTTCCACACACCACTAGACATGCAGATCAAGAATCACAGCATTACCTTTTACTTCTTTGTCGTGGCATTCCTTCAGTTTGGACCACAGTTCCTTGAAATAATCAGTAGGCGGTTCTGCTGAGGTGGGACTTGCACAGTTTCCTCCAGATGCACTCATTTTATCTTTCTGTTTCCAGTATTTCACCTGCCCTTCTGCAATTCTTGCCGTTTGACACCTTTCTAGGTTTACATTATAGTTATGAAGTTGTTTTTCTTAACAACCAAATCCCTGTAACGAGATATTTATGATATATTTATCAACAGTGGGTGAAATACAGTGGTACCTCAACTTGAGAACGTCCCTACATAAGAACGATTTGCGTTAAGAATGGCTCCATTCGCAAAAGGTTGCTTCGATTTGAGAATGGAGCCTTGACTTAAGAACAAAAAAGAAAAAAAGAAAAAGAAAGAAAGAAAGAAAGGAAAGAAAGAAGAAAAGAAAGCAAGAAAGAAGGAAAGAAAGAAAGAAGGAAAGAAGGAAAGAAAGAAAGAGAGAAAGAAAAGGAAAGAAAGAAGGAAGGAAGGAAAGAAAGAAGGAAAAAAAAAACGCCCCCTAGTGATAGATACGGATTAACCAGCTTTGCATTAGTTCCTATGGGAACTAATGCTTCGATTTAAGAACAGTGCCTTGACTTATGAACGAAAAACAGCAGATACGGATTAAATGCTTTTCAATGCATTCCTATGAGAAATGGTGCTTCGACTTAAGAACGTTTCGACTTAAGAACGCAGTCCCAATACAGATTAAGTTCTTAAGTCGAGGTACGACTGTACACCCTTCCTTGCTATTCACAGGTCTTAGCCAAACCATCAGTTGTAGTGTAATAATTCACTTATTCATTGTGTTTTAACTGGTTTGCATTTTAATAATTTCTGACTCACCTTAGGTCTTGTATTTGCTAGAGAGGCAGCACAGAAATTATGTAGCCAGTTCTACATGACTGTTTTCCTGAAAATATTAAAACAGCAGCTAAAGAACCAAATGACTATTCCCCACATTCCCAAGCTGTTTTTTCCCCAAATGATGGAAAGATACACATGTGCGCATGTTCATACAGAAACACTAATAGCTTGTATACAAATGACTGAGGTTAAGTGGCCTACCTGAAAGCATATCCATAGTAGTTTGCTAGTGCAAGAACAATAAACATTTGAGGAACTTTAATAGCTTTCATGGGATACAGCTTACTTGGAAACAATGAGGTCAGAGGGAAATGGAAGTGCAGAAAATATCTAGGAAGAAACTTGGAGCAGAAAACTATAGATTCTGAGAAGTTTGTCTGTCTCACCAATTTGTCTTTGTATTTTGCTCCAAACACATGTTGTGACTGTCAATACCTCATGGCTGGAAGTTCCTGCTTTAGAGATTTAGAAACATACAACAGCTAATATGTTCCTGAACATAGTTGAGGTAAGCATAATGATACTGAAACTATTTTATTGCATTCCTTATGGGGTTGCCAGAATGATGACTATTTTTCCCCACCATTTATCCCATAAGGCTCCAGCATCTTTAATAAATCTTCAGAGAAGACCCTTGTTCCACTGTCTTCTCATGCACATTTGGTGGGCATGAGAGAGGACCTGATTCTGTGTCTGCTATCAGATTATGGAACGCCCTCCCCTGGTGAGAGGTGAAGAGTTTTAATTTGGGATGCTGTGTTATACATTTTAAACTGCTTTTAAGGTGATTTTAATTAGTTATTTTAATACTACTGTAGGTTTACCATGTTTCCCTGAAAACAAGATAGGATCTTATATTAATATTTGCTCCAAAAACACATTAGGGCTTATTTTCAGGGGATGTTTTACTTTATAGTCATGTCATCTTCTGGTTGCTTCACAATGGTGGAGGGCAGGGTTTCACTTAACTAGGGCTTATTTTTGGGGTAGTGCTTATATTTCGAGCATCCTGAAAAAAATCATACTAGGGTTTATTTACAGGTTAAATCTTATTTTCGGGGAAACAGGGTAATTGTTTTAGTGTAATAATTCACTTATTGTGTTTTAACTGGTTTGCATTTTAATAATTTGTGACTCACAGTGGGTCTCATATTTGCTAGAGGCAGCACAGAAAGAAAATTAAAGGAAATAAATAAAATCTAAGAGATACAGGTTACTTAGCATACTGCCTTATAATGTTTATTCAGAAGGAAGCCCCCTTGGGCTCAGTGGCACATACTTCCAAGTGTTTACATTTTTTGAGTCTTAAGATCTTAAATCTTTGTGATATCTCAAGATTCCTTCTTCTGCAGTTTAATGGCAAAGGTCCTATTACCACTTGCTGATATTTGGGAAAATATTTTACAGGCAGCTCACTAAATTGTTAGGCTGCAAAAAAGGCCACAGGATACCCAGGGTATTGTAGTGCACAGAGTATAGTGGTGCCCCGCTTGATGATTACGTTAGATGAGGAAATCACTTGACGATTAGTTTTTTGCAATGACT